GTGCAGGCAGGGATGCTGTCAGGGGCTCTCTGGGGATGCTGCTGGCAGGGATCGATTCCAGCTCAGCTCAGCACGTCCCTGCCCTCCCTGCCTGTGCTGGGAGAGCAATAATGATCATTCTTGTGTTCTGCAGGCCCTCCCCTGAGCTGGGAGCCAGGCAGGAGAGCAGCTCCCACACCACAGCTCAGCCCTGGGCTGGCTCTGCCTTGTGGTCCCTGAAAGCTGCTGGGGTTTGGGGAAGGTAAAGCAGCAAAGCTGCAGCTGCCTGCTCAGGGCTTTGGTCCAGCTCTGTGGTTGGCTCAGCTACTGGGAAAGGCTGAAAATGATTTAGCAGACAGCCCCAGGGTGCTTCATTTACCAAACAGCCCCAGGGTGCTTCGAGTGAACGTGTTTGGGGTGCAGGGAGGGCTGGGGAGGAGCTGCCTCCATGTGCCATCACTTCCAGGAGATTCCTGTACTGGCCCTCACTCCTCCCTTTGTAAAAAGCTGGGAATTGCAGTGCCAGGAGTGCAGGGGGAGCTGGCAGCAGGGGGGAGCTGTCTGTGGTGGCAGGGGCAGGGCTGTGCTGCACACACTGAGATGTCACCGTCGGTGACACCGCCACGGCCCCGTGTCCCCATGGTTTGGTGGGCATTTGGAGCCAGAATCCATCTCCCCTCAGGAGCCAGACATCATGTGGCTCCTGCCTGGCGCTGGGAGCTGTCACTGTCACTGTCACTGCTGTGACACATCGGGGAGGAGATGCTGCTTCTCATTAGTGTCAGGGGTAAAGGGCACCCTCGGAGCTGTGCTGGCAGCTGGCAGCAGCTCCTGGCCCTGCCTTGGCTGGGTGTCACCCAGCCTGACAAAAGCTCGGGGTATTTGGAGTCATCCTTGGCCATGGCTAACGAGGAATTGTCCTTTGCCAGTGTGGCAGGCTGGCAGCCTGGTGCCAGGGCAGCACTGATTTGTGGTTTTGATTTGTATTTTGTGTGTGCTGCTCACCTTGAGCAGGAGCAGCCCAGCACTGAGCCTGTCCTCAGCTCCAGAAGTGACAGGCTGGAGCTCTCAGCTTCTCCTGGATGTTGAGATCTCCTTTTTCTTAATTAGCATCACACTGATCCTTCCCCAGTGCAGCTTTGCAGGCTGTGATAGCCCTGAGGTGTGGTGTTCAGGAAGTGGCCGGAAAAGCTGCTCTGTGGGGAGAGGGGGCTGATGGCTCTTTCCATCCTTCTTTCTGGCTGTTTTCCCGCTTCCTGCTGCCTGTTTTTAATCCTTCCTGCTGACTATTTTTCCCCCTCTCTGCTGGCTGTTTTCCCCCTTCCTTCTGGCTGTTTCAATCCTTCCTGCTGACTGTTTTTCCCCCTCTCTGATGGCTGTATTTTCCCCTTCCTGCTGGCTGTATTTCCCCCTTCCTTCTGGCTGTTTTTCCCTTTCCTTCTGGCTGTTTCCATCCTTCCTGCAGGCTGTATTTTCCCATCCTGCTGGCTGTTTTTCCTGATGACTGTTTTCCCCCTTTCTGCTGGCTGTATTTTACCCTCTCTGCTGGTTGTTTTTCTCCTTCCTTCTGGCTGTTTCCATCCTTCCTGCTGACTGTTTTTCCCCTTCCTGCTTGCTGTTTTTCCTGATGACTGTTTTCCCCTTCTGATGGCTGTTTTTCCCCTCTCTGCTGACTGTTTTCCCCCCATCCTTCTGGCTGTTTTTCCCCTCTCTGCTGGCTGTTGCTCCCCATCCTTCTGGCTGTTTTTCCCCTTCCTTCTGGCTGTTTCAATCCTTCCTGCTGACTGTTTTTCCCCTTCCTGCTGGCTGTATTTTCCCCTCTCTGCTGGCTGTTTTTCCCCTTCCTCCTGGCTGNGGCACAGAATGTCTGGGAAGGGATTTTTGGGCTGCACAGAGTGGGAGGTTGCTTGTTGGAGGGGTCACGTCAATAGAAGGAGGCACTGAGCTGGGCTGTTGGTGCTCAGGCAGAGCTTTTCCATGTTTTTCTTTGCTTCTTTGTCCCTCTGGGCTGTGAGGAGGGAAGTGCCCACCAGAGGTACCTGCCACAGCAATCAGTAAGGTCTGCTCACTTCTACTGGTCCCTTAAAATGGGTGGGAAAGCAGAATAACAGAAAAATGAATTATTTTTTTCTTACTTCTTTTACTGAAGGGGAATTACAAATCCTATTAGGATGTGCTCTGCTTTTTTCCAGTGTATATCTCCAGGACTGGTGGAAACAGGATTTGCTTTTAAACTCCATGATAATGACCCTGAGAGAGCTGCTGCCACCTACGAGAGCATTCGGGTAGGAGCTGGGGGAGTGGGAGCAGAGGGAAGTGGCTCTGGTTATAATTGAGCATTTCTCCTGGCTGATGGTTCCAGGGAGTGCTCAGTGCTCTCCAATCTCAGCCCTCAAACCTCACATTTTCCACTGGTATTTACACACTGTGTAGGTTTTCATTTGGGTTCAGTTTCCAGCTCCTTCCATTTTTCCTTTTATTTTGATGCTTCTGTAAATCAGTGTCAGCCAGCTTTGCCATTCTGCAGGCTGTGAGTTCTTCATTGCAGAGGAGATGGGACAAGCAGAGGTGCCACAAGGAGAAGTGTTCTGCAGGTGGCAGGGGATTTCCTGTGGGAATTCCTGACGAGGATGGCAGAATCCCTGTGCCAGCAGTGAGATAATCCACAGCAGATTATCAGCACCAGGCACATCCTTTGTTACATTTCCAATGCACTGGGTATTTCCTGCTTGCTTGTCCCTCCTGGCCATGCCCCAGTGACACTGTCAGACCTCATCAGGGATGGGCAGGAGAGGAGGGATCTCCTGGGGAGCTCTGGGGGTGCCCTCTGACCCAGAGCCTCTCTGCTGTCATTGCAGTGTCTCAAGGCTGAAGACATGGCCAACGCTGTCATCTATGTCCTCAGTGCCCCCCCTCACGTCCAGGTAGGCTGGGGCTGGGGCTGGGGCTGGGGAGGGGCTCAGGGCTGCCCTGGCCTGGCTGATCTGCTGCTGGGTCAGCTGGGAGCTTAGGGAGCCTGTGCTGGGGATTAGCAGGGATCACGTTTGTTTACACTTCCAGCTCTGGGACGGCACTGCTGGGGCTCTGGCACTGCTGGGGCTCTGGCACTGCTGGGGCTCTGGCACTGCTCAGGGTGTGGGATGGCACTGCTGGGGCACTGGGATTGCTCAGGGTGTGGGATGGCACTGCTGGGGCTCTGGGATTGCTCAGGGTGTGGGATTGCTCAGGGATGGCACTGCTGGGGCTCTGGGATGGCACTGCTGGGGCTCTGGGATTGCTCAGGGTGTGGGATTGCTCAGCTCATCAGGCTCAGCCCTGGTCACANAGGGAAGGGGAATGTGAAGGAGCTGAGGGTTTGGTGATGCCAGAGCATCCCAGCCATGGCTAACAGAATTATGGAATCCCAGTGGTTTGGGTTGAAAGGAACCTTATAAACCATCCCATTGCAACCCCCATGGGCAGGGACACCTTCCACTGTCCCAGGGGGCTCCAGGGAAGCTTGACATGGAAAGAGGGCAAGAGCAGGGTGTGAAACCTGAATACACAAAAACATCACATTTCATCAAAGTTCAGGAAGGCTGCCAGTTTTAAGGTGAAATGCTGGAACCCTTGTGTAAGGTGGTTTTGTAACCTCCAGCTAACTGAAAGAGCAGGTTGTCTGGTGGGGATTTAGCTGGGGCAATAAATGCTATGTCAAGATTTCTTAATCTCTTGGAAAATCAGATAAGGGCTTGAGGCAAGATAACGAAGGATTTGCAAAGTTGCGTGTTTGGCATTAAACCCCTGTCACAACTGCAGTGGTCTTTATTTGCCTTTTGAAATAAAAAATGTTAATGGCTCACAAAAAAGCCCCAAAAACCCCCAAACTGCAGAAGGATATTTTTTAATTTTTCCCTTCCAGTGGCTCCACTGTCCACATTTCCCTCCCTGCTCCCTGCTGCAGCCTCTTCGTGTGGGTCATCCAACAGGAGCTCAGACAGTCAGACATCGAGGAATAAAATATAATTAAACTGGCTGTATTTTCCTTGTGCACGCCAGGAGGTAATTCAGGTTGAAGGCTCGTTTTAAATGCAGAGCCTGGAGGTACTAACAGCTGTCAAGGACTTCTTGGCGTGTGCTCAGGGAGCGTTTGCTGCTCTCCAGACACCGCCACGCGTTCCAAGGCAGCCGCTCTCACCGAGCAGCCAAGTGTTTTTATTTTTTAGCAGCTTGGAAGAGCAGGTTTTGGGGGGGAAAATGCTCCTTGGGTGCAGAGATCTGCTGAGATTTACAGCCACAGCCACTCTGCTGCTCCTCACTTCCCCCTGCTCTTGTTTTCCAGGAGTTTGTGTTTGGTGTCCGGCTCCTTGCAGCAGCACAAAAAAGGGGAGAATTTGCACATGCATGGGACAAAATGTTCCTGCCCTCCCGGCTGGCAAAGCCCTCTGTGGTCTTTTATTCAGTGAGATATGTGAGTTTTGTTCTGCAGGGTTTTTCCCCAGGTTGGGAGGGTTTTCCTGGCTCAGAGGGACTCTGCAGCTTTTCCCTTGCAGCACAGCAAGGCAGAGACAGGGAGCTGTTTCCAAGGGGTTTGCAGTGGTGCTGGTACTGTGCTTTTTTATAACGAAAATGGATTTATTTTCCATTTCCAGAGAATGGCAGAAGTGCTGGCAGGTGCTCCCCCTCCATGCATGGTGTCAGAGCCCTGATCTGCAGCGTGGCTGGGGCTGTCACTGGGGGGAGATGCTCCAGGTGGGACACTGCCCCTGCTCCAGCTCAACTGGAAATCCTCCAGCAGCTCGGCTGCCTCGCTCTGCTGTGCCCAGGGATGCTGTGCTCCAAAAGAAATCCATTTTTCCCTGTCTTTGTTGGCGTGCCGAGAGCAGAGCCGTGCAGGAAGCAATAAATGTGACTTAAGATACAAGGTTTAACCAATTAATTCCAATGCATTTGTGACAGGTATTGATCAAAGGTAACATTTATAACCAGGGCCTGCTTTGTCAAGGTTAGATCTTGCTCAGGAGCAGCCTTTGATAAGCTCAGCAATTGATTGCAGCTTGGAGCAGCCCAGGCTCTGGGGAGGCTGTTGGGAGGAGGAGGAAGGAGCTGAGAATTCCTCGTGGGACCTGAGCATCCATTTTTGGGCTCTCTGGTCACTTCCAGGAATCCTCAGGTGCTCCTAGGAGGGTAATTAACAGCGTAATTAACAGCTGGTTGCTGAGTGTGGTGTTTAATTCCCTGCAGGCAGATCAGATGATGGTTTAGAGCTCGCCTGGTTCCATTTTGGCGTTTTGTCTGTCCCTGGTGGGTCTGTCCCTCTGCCCAGCAGCTGGGATGGGTTTCCTGGGCTGTCCCCACAGGTTCCCCCCATCCTGGGCAGGATAATCCCGAGGCAGGGTGCCTGTGGAGTGTGAGTGACCTTCAGAGTCCCCTTGGCCCCTGGCAGGGGCTGTGCTGTGTTTGGGGACGGTGGGCTCAAGGCCTCTGAAGGGCTTTTATTGCCACTTGTCCCTGACCAGATCCTGTCTGATAAACAGCAGAGATCCCATCATTGCTGGGAACAAATACCTCTCTGTCCTCGTGGATTCCCTCAGCCTTGAAACTTTAAACCAGGCTGGATTCCTCTGTTTCTCCCCCAAAATGTGCTTTAAGAATGTGACTTTGCAGCACCCCCCCTCCTCTGCTGCTCTGCTGTTCCTGGGGTTTGCAATAGAGCAGCAATACCACGCTCAGAGCCCCAAAAGGAAATAATAACTGAGCTTTTCCTGTGTTTTGGAGCTGGGATGGGGATGTGTGCTGTGTCAGGGGGCTGTGCCGTGCCTCAGTTTCCCTGTGTAAAACCTGGCAGCTGTCCTGGGAGGGTGGGAGGGCTGTGCAGGGGCAGAGCTGGACACAGAGGGGACTTTCTGGCTGGGTTTGGGTTTAAGGAGAGAGCCCAGGGCAGGGGGGTGTGAAAAGAGCTGTGAAGAAAACACAGTGGTGTTTTTCCTGGGCTGTATGAGCAGCCTCAGCTCTGCAGGAAGCAGTGGCTGTGCCCAGGTGCAGTTTTTCCCTCTCTCCCATGTCCTGTGGGCAGTGCCAGGGGGATGTCCTGGCTGGCAGCGATTCCTGGGGCGGCCCAGGTGGGTTTGTGGTGCCCTGGCTGTGTGAAGTGCTGGATTCCTGTCCCTGCCAGGCCCTGGGCTCAGCTGGGATTGGGCTGCAGGGGCTGCAGCTGGGAGTGCCCATGGCAGGGATGGGCTGCAGCCTCCTCCAAACCTGGGCTGCAATAAAATCCAGCACCTGCCACCTGAATTTGGGGGATCTGTTTTACTCGGGGTGGTGGGTACGTGCTGCTTTCCATGGACCCCTGAGCACGCCTGACATTGTCAGGGCATCACTGCTGCAAATTAGGCGGGGTTTGGTTGAATTAAATTTAATTTTTCCAGGTGGAAAGGACACAGGAGGAAGGTGCCAGGACCTGGGGGTGTCAGGCAGGGGCTGGGGCTCAGCTCTGCCCCCTGAGCTGGGTGTCTGTGGGTTCTTTGGGATCCTAGTCCTGACAGTGATCCCAGTCCTGACAGTAATTCCAGTCCTGACAGTAATTCCAGTCCTGACAGTGATCCCAGTCCCAGCAGGCTCTGTGGGGCTGAGTTTTGGGCAGGCTGAGCTCTGTGGGGCTGGGTTTAGAACAGGCAGGCTGGGCTTAGGGCAGGCTGGGTTTAGGGCAGGCTGGGTTTAGGGCAGGCTGGGTTTAGGGCAGGCTGAGCTCTGTGGGGCTGGGTTTAGGGCAGGCTGGGTTTAGGGCAGGCTGAGCTCTGTGGGNATGCCACGCTGCTCTCTTGCAGATTGGGGATATACAGATGAGGCCCACGGAGCAGATCTCGTAGCAGGGCAGGAGGATGAGGAGGATGAGGAGCACCATGAGCAGCACCGTGCCCACTCCACCTGGAGCCCTCTGGCAGCCCAGGCTTCCCTCAGCTGGCTGGCAGCGTTTTAATCAAGTACCAAGGATCATGTCTGAAGAATTGTTTTTCTCTCCCTCTCTCTGAGCTGGTGCTGGTGCTGAGCCAGTTTGAAAAAAAAAAAGAAAGAACCACAAACTCCTAGTGGGTCTCTTTCTCCCCCACTCCTTTCTGGAACTGCTTGAGAGTAAAAATGTGTTTGAGAATAATGCAGGGAAGTGGTTTGTGGAAGATGGTTTGTCTCCAGGCTGGTTTATTCTTCATTTTGCTTTCTTTTCAAGGTTTGTTTGATCTTAGTTGCTGATGCTGTGTGTGGACCTAGGTGAAGTGGCACAAGATGTTTGCCAGCTTCAGCGTGCTTAGGGTTTGAGATTTTCAGTGGACATGATACATGAATCCATCTAATACTCTGAGTTTATTTTCATCAGGTTGATTACTGATGGTGGTGATGCATGTGATATTTTCCATTTCTTTTGTACTCCACTGCCCCAACCCCAGTGTACAACCTCCCCCAGCCCTCCTTTCCCCTTCACATGGCTCATGCCTGCCAAGTTTGAGGAAGTATAAATGTATGTGCTTGATATTTCTCTTTTTTTCTAGGTAGGTAAATAGTTGGAGGGAAAGCACCTGTCCCTGTGCAGGTTAGGATGATAATCTAAGTGGCATAGTTACAGTAAGAGTGAGTTGTTTGGTATTTTTAATAAAAACTAAACGTGTGCTGTCTTGTGACCACCTCTATCCTTGGTATCATCTCCCAGCACTCTCGATGTTCTGTGTGTGATATTTGCATGCATTGACACTTTTCTGCCAACGTGGATTGCTCTGGTGCTGTTGGAATGCTGGTGCTGAGGAGCTGGAAATGGTGGAAGTTTATTTTTATGTAGAGACACAAACTCAGAGAGAGAGAGAGAGAGAGATAGAATGGAACAAGCCCTGCTGAAGGTGTCTGGAATGAGGAGGGATTTGCAGATTTTCAGGGGCATTTTGGCCACAGCAAGCAGCAGGAGAAGGGTCTGGCTGAGATCCTGTGCTGGTGCAGCCCCAGTGTCTGGCTCTGGGTTTATCTGAGTTGAGGGAGAGGAGAACTGGCCCCAAAGCAGAGCTGGAGCTGTCTGGAGACCCTCTGCAGGGAGGTCTGTGTGTGCCCAGCTCTGCAGGGAGCTCCTGGGCACGTTGCCTTAAGATTGCAGACCCTGTCTAGCTCCTGCTGGGCTCCAGGAGCTCAGGGATGGTCAGAGCAGAGGACAGAGAGCTGGGAGATCGGGGTTGGATTGTTTGGCTTACAGCAGGAGAGCCCTGGGAGTTCATCTGTGTCAGCCCTGCACAGGGGAGAGCAGAGCTGGGCCCAGGACACGAGTTCAGCTCCCTGTACAGCCTTGGGCAAGTCACTTTACCTCTCTGCCTCAGTTTCCCCATCTGGAAATGGGGATGATGACACTCACCTACCTCACAGGGGTGTTGTGAGGACTCACAAGCTTTTGTAAAGCACTTTGACAGGCGCTGTGTAAGTGCTGAGTGTTGATATTGAAGTATTGTTATGAATTAAACCTTGTGATACCTAGAATTCCTTGTGCCAAAGGTGAGCAGCTGGAGAAGGATACAAGGAGAAAACTGGCAAAATGTTCCTTTCATGATGGCAAAAACAAAAGGCAATTTGCCCCCTTTTTTCCCCCTTTATTAACACATGGTTTGTTCTGTCCATTCACCAGTTTCTACTGACAAGTGCACCTGGATTTGGCTTTTTAATTTCTGGTGAGTGAAATCCCTGCACTGCCCTGCTCCAGGATGCCAAGGTGGTGCCTTTGTGTGCATTCCCAGCAGGTGCCCTATGTGCCATCTTTAGGAGAAGGTGGTTGAGCTACTAAAGAGGCCAAAAAAACCAGAAAAAATAGAGAAATTAGGAACTTCTGAGCAGGGATGTGGGCAGCAGTGGTGAAACATGGGATGGTGGCAGCAGCTGTGTGCAAAGTTCACAGAGGTTGCAATGTGTGGCTGAGGAGGGCCTTGACATCTCCCTGTTCTGTAAAAGGAGGATTTGGGGAGAACTGCTGAAGATGCAGAACCCTGACAAAGGGTTTGTCCAGGTAGTTGCTCCTTGCAAATACAACCTGGCAGCCCTGCAAGTTGTTTTTTCTTTTTCCCCCGAGAACATTTGTAATCTCTGAAGTCACCTCGAGGTGACGTGCAGTATATTTTTCCATTTGAAGTGTGGTTTTAGGGGATCATCCCTGCTGCCTGCTAACCTCCCCCATAGGAGGGCTCCTCGGGTGGCCTTGGTGGCACCTCCCTGGGATGAGATGGACCCCACCCCGAGGCAGTGACACCCCTCAAACGCCAGGATCAGTGACCTGTGTCATTTATCAGTAGGTTTCTATTGTGAACTGTAAAATAAAGAATAAAAAGAGAGGCACACTGTGGCTCGTCTGTGGCGTGTTTTGTTCTTTTTGTGTTAAACCTGAACAGCCTTTTTGCTGTTCACACCCAGAGTTTTGTTTGGGGAACGACCCAAACAGAATCCTTCCCTTTGGGGTCTTTATGGGGAAAAACAGAGTTTGTTTCCAGAGCTGGACAGCATCCAGTTGTGTTGGGGTGACCTGTGTGGGTCTGGGGTGACCTGTGGGGTCTGGCTGGGGACAGCTCTGGGATGCTCCGTTCCTGGGCTGTTCCCAGTGCCCGGGGGTCTGTCCGGGGTCACTGGGGTTCCCTATTCCCGGTACCTGGGGTCTGTCTGGGGTCTCTGGGATTCCCTATTCCTTGTACCCGGGATGTCTCCGGGGTCACTGGGATTCCCCGTTCCCGGGGGCTCTCCGGGAGCTCTGGGATGCTCCGTTCCCGGTACCCGGGGTCACTGGGATGCTCCGTTCCCG